CAACTCTTCAGACAGGGATTGGACTGGACTGTGGGACATAAAGTGATACTCATGAGGAGTGTGCCTCTTAGCTCAAGTAGATACGAGACTAAATGCGCAGCTTCTGTCCGGAGGTGAGATGGGAAGGCAGAGAGGGTCAGGAGCTGGCTGAATGGACACGAGGAATCGAGGTGGAAAGGAAGAGTGTGCTGCCACAGTATGGGGAGAGCAATTAGAGTCACATAACAATGTATGTATAAATTTTTGTATGGGGAAAAAAAAAAGAACTACCATGTAATGTTTTCTATTTTCTCCTTTTATTATTCAAAGAGAGGGTATTTTAAGTATCCATTATGCTTTACACACACACACACACACGCACACACGCAACCCAGTAAGAATATGTGCAGATACAGCTTCTTGATTATGGATGAGGCTTAGCGGGATGGAGCCTGGTTCTGTTTAGGAGATTATTTTCCATGACTTCATTTTGGTTTTTCTGACTCTACAGACATAACCAAAGATTTAACCACAACCAGCCAAGAGCTTTCTCTTCAGATTCACGACACGTTTGTTCAGAAGTATGCAGAAGAGCCATACCTATGAGAAACCGAGCCTAGAAGCAGATTTACCTGAGAAACTATAAACTTTAAGGAGCCATTAGCATTTTCTCGCGCCAGCACTCAGCAACCTCCACTCTGAGGAAGTCACGACTTCTCGGCATGCCCCATCCCAGCAGCCACCGGAAAAGCTCTGGAGCAACCCCATGTCTCCCTTCAAAGAACTTGCTGTTCAGCTGCAAAAAATGCAGGTGGCTGACCCTACCAGCTGTGAGTGCCTTCTGGATCCACCTGAGCATTTGAGCTGGAGCCACGCTCTCCATGGGGAAGGGCAGCCAACAGCAGCGTGGCAGGGGTGCCAGGCTCGGCCCTTCCTGCCAGAGCAGGGCTCCTGGAGACGAGCTGTCAGACCCACATCATGCTCTGAGGCACTCCCTGCAGAGTCCTGCTTCTTCCTCCTTTCATCTTTCACACGCCTCATCCCCAATAACCAACCCTTTTCTACGCCCAACGCCCGCTCAGCATCTGCTTTTTGGAAGACCCAACTGACAGCCTATTTCACCTCAGTTTCCACTTATAGAACATCTCGTCACACTTCTAGATAAAAACTCTGAGAATTCTGATACAAACAGAATTTCCCAAAACATGTACCAAAAACAAATTAATGAACAAATACTTTTCTACCTCCACACATTCCCTTTTAATGGTTCTCAACCCAACCAGGCTAATTTTTCCCTCACTCTGAGACTTTTTTCAGGGATTCATCATATAAACTTCTCAGGCTTGCCTAGCCACAGCAATCTGAGGGCGGGCATGAGCTGGGCATTCTGCGTGCCCACCGGTAATTTACGAGAAGCTTTTCCTTTCTAATGATTCTTCTGTTGTACTCTAGAGTTTGCTACCTTCTAGAAGTAAGAAAACAAAGAAAAAGGATTCACATCACGCAGGGCATTTTATGCGTAGAAGCTAACACTACCTTAAAAGGAACTGGGTTGTAAAACTGCTGAGTGAGTATTCTAGTGGATACGGCTATTGCCACAAATTCCTCTAAGGACCTTTCATTAAAAGGAGAGCCGAGGAAATGTTTTTAAGTTTAAAGCTACTAATAATGGAAAACTGGCTTAGTGAACTACATGACTGAGAGGGGCATGTGCTGAGCGACAAAACATTTCAACTTCTTCACACTAAGCATAAAGAGCAATCTTTGATGGTGAACTGATGTTTTGTTTTGTCGTTGTTACTGTTCGTTTAGTTTAATAATTTATAAGGATATACAACTCGGGATCACGAATAGACGTTTAATCATAGGGTAATGAGGAATACTAAGTAGGCCGAGATAATATCAAATAAACTGCAGCAACTAACTAGATACTTACTGTTCGTATGAACAGTGTTAAGCTAGCTTTGAACTCTAGGCAGAGAGAAAAAGCTCAGTACCTTGACTTTGGCAGTGCATCCTGAAAGTCGAAAAATTCCTTCAGATTCCAGTCCCGATTCCTCAACTTTCTCAAAAAACTACAAAGCAAAGACAGATATAAATAAACAGATAAATACCTCTATGTGAAAGGCTGATGACCACAATCGGTAAGTTGCCAAGCACGCACCTGGTATTTAATGTCTTGTTAAGTGTTCATAACCACCCTGTGAGGTCAAATTATCCTCCACTTGGCATGAGGAAGCAGAGGCTTGTAGCTGTGATGTAACTTTCCAATATGAATCTAGTAAGTAAAGGCACGGACTCTCTCCAGCTAGTGCTCTTGACCACTCTTAACCTGCTGCCACTCCAACCCTTTAAGATCTGATTATGATGTCTCTTTGTGCAGACTGACCAGTAAGAAAAGACCAGGGATTGACTACCATTAGTTGCACCCACCCTGGCTAAGAAACTACAGGAATCCTAGGAGTCTGACCAAGGAGTCAGAAATGAGAGAGGTCACTACTTCTCACGAGGTCTCATGGTGATGATGGTGGTAAAAATCATAATAATAAACGCTAACATTTATTGTGCACTTACGGTCTGTCAGGTACTGTTCTCAGTCCTTTACATACATTCACTCTTTTAACCCTCACATTAATCCTACGAGGTAGGTACTATTATTATCCCGTTCTAGAGCTGAGGAGACTGAGGCTCGAAGAGGGTAAGTGACTTGTTCAAGGTCACACAATAAGAGGACGGCCCAGAGTCTGCTATTTTCCCTTCAAGAAATGATGCCGGCTGGAACTCAGCGGAGAGAAACAGATATTCAGAAGGAAGCATGGCCATATAAAGACTATCCCACAGGAGCGGGAGATTAGTACCTCAAGTTGTCTTTCTAAGGAATACAACATCAGTAGAAATAAGGGCAAACATCTACTGAGTCGTTCTAATGTGAAATACATCCAGTTTTAGTTTAACTACAACTTCCATTTGCTAAGTTCTGTGCTAGCTTTTTGTACCTACGTAATAATATGAATACCTCTACTGAATCTTCTAAGATTTTATGGATTTTCTTTAAACTCTGTCCTTTACATAGAGAATAAAGGGCATAACTCAGGTTTTCATTCAAGTAAGGAAGAAAATCTTCAAGTCACCACGGACTTTGGGCTCGGATGAGTACTGTGTTCCTGCTTGCACGCCACCTTTGCTGCCTGTGTGCTCTTGGGTAAGTTACCTCCCTCTCCTGCGCCTCAGCTGCCTCATCAGTAAAAGGGAGATGATAACACCCACTTCCTCGAGCTGCTCAGTGCTGACTGCCCGGGACATTCTGTGGACGGCCCAGCACAGCCCCTGGGCAGAGTCACACTACGGGCAGTACCTGCACACAAGGGCAAGTCACCAACACCCCTGGCTCTCTGGCTGCCATTCTCCCTGATCCCAGCACAAGCCAGTCAGTCAGTGATTGGAGCAGCTGCCCAAATGGAGTCATTGGTATGCAAAATACAGGAAGACAGAAGGGAGATGTAGAATTATTCGTGCAAATGAAGGAAGTATATATTTCCTCAGTCAATATTTTTATATATATCATTCAAAAACTCATTTGAAAATTCAATAAGACATGTTTAGGGCCTAGAATTTCAACTGTGCCACTGGGTGTCACTGTTGAATACATGCACACTTATGTAAATCACTGGTTGTAAAAAAATCTGACTCAAGCAAATCAGCTAATCAGCAATGATGGTAAGGGTTTTATTACACCATAGTTTGAATAATATCATTTTCAAAATGTCCTTCAATCAAAATCGTTCTCTTTGTCTAAATGTATTCTATTTCCCAGCCATGCCTGAAAAACCACCAGAATAAACTGATTTTTAGACTTTCTTAACCTCTTTCTGTAAAATTAATAAAATGATTATATATACACATTTTAGAATCACCCAATCTGTAATTTATCTTAGTAATTACTTCCATGACCAGTAAATGTACTGTCAATTATAACAAGTTATCTTTTATACCAGAAAGAATAAATACACAAAATACAAACATATAACACAAAGAACATTTGAAAAAAACATAACCAAAGGAAGCCATGTAACAGAGCATCTGTGCCTATCAGCTGATACTTTTATGGTCAAACGATGTGAGAGGTTCCAAAAGTGCACATCAAGGCAAATCGGTCCCAGTGCTTGTGGGGCGTCTATGGGGCACATGGAATAAAGTTAAAAACCACAAGAGGCCTGAGTCCTAATAGGGTTTTAGAGTTTTTAAACCTAAAAGAAAATTTATTAGTGGGTTTAAAACCAGTTGCTATCAAGTCAGCTCCAGCTCACAGAGATCTCATGTGTGTCAGAGTAGAACTGTGCCAGATAAGGTTTTCAGCAGCTGATTTCTCAAGAGTAGACTGTCAGGCCTTTCTTCCGAGGTGCCTCTGGGTGGACTCGAATCTCCAACCTTTGGGTTAGCAGCCGAGTGTGTTCACATTTGCACCACCCAGGGTCTTTTTAGTGGGTTTACAAGATACCAAATCACAAGCACAAGGCTCCATCAATTTCTCCCTTGTCTGCTTTCTACTCACTTTTTGTAACACAAGGGGGACTTTCACTCCAGAGTCTTTTTTTCGATCATTATCCAACAGGACCGTGAGTGGAACTCCAAAAATGCCACTGTCTTCATTAATAAGCGGAGAAAGAAAAGATAATCAGAAAAGCACTACCTTCTTCCAACTCAAGTATTAAAATCAGACGAAACCAGTCTTTTTACTTACCTCGCCCTTTCACTTTTTCTGTTTTGTTTCTTTTCAGTGGAATCCCAAAGGCATCAAAAAAGGCAGTCAATTCAATCAGAGAGAGATGGCGGATTTTCTTCATGTCTTCAACAGACAGATCTCCTGCTTCTGTTAAGCCAAATCTGGTTTTCTTAACAATAAATTTCTAAAATACATATTGTGGATATTTATTTACTTTTTACAGCCACAGAAAGTTATTATACTTTTATTCAAATGCCATCTGGACATTCTTAAGCTATACAGCAAAACGTACAATTTCCAAACCTCCAATGAAGAGACAGCTGCACACAGAAAGCCTTTACTAGTATAATTTTTAGATGTGCAGATCACCACCATGCAAAAAAGTGGTCAGAGATATACTAGACCACTGCCCCTCACGACTGTGGAAACCGCCTTCTTATCAGGCTATCTGGACTGGACTGCTGACCAGCGTCTACAAAATGTCAGGTACCACGTGGAAGGTGCCACAGACCCGACCATTTGGATCACCTGTAACACACAAATGCCAAGCAATACCATCCAGGTTCTAACAGCAGTAAAGCTTTAGACATCACACTTTTCTTTTGGGGAGGGGTGGCAGTGAGGGGCAGTCATTCCTTTATCAGACATCATCTATTGTGAACTGCATACATAAAAGACTCTTGTTAAAATGCCCAATTGAAATTGCTAACATATGTTTGCTGAGACAGCTATTATTCCACCTTAAAAATCAAACTCAGATAATTCCAAATATTCCTCAAAAAGCAAAATGCACTGAAAGTGCCAAATAACCCTACCAACATTTTGAAGACAATGATACTGCTGTGTTCTCCATTCCCACACTAGGAAAAAATACTCTAAAACAACAACAACAAAACCTTCAATAATCCAGATATGCTGTAGAGAATCTAAGCAACCAAACATTTTTAAAGCAAGAGATTGTTCCTGTATAAAATCCACAGGTATACTTGCTCTCAGAAAACCTGATATTTAGAAAACGCTAACCTAGAATTTAAATTGCAAAGCTTTAAAAGTAAGTATTCTCCAGAGGGGCTCCCTAAATTAGTGTCCTTGGGTTTTTTTAACCGTCTGTCCACTCTTGTTCATTCAATTATTCCTCAGAACCCTAAAAGTAAAATTGTAAAATGTGGCTTGGTGTACCTTGTGCTATTAAAGGCTGAGTTATTTTACCTTCCTTCTGAAACAAAGGCCACACATAACGATACAAACAAGAACCACAATCATTTATTGAGCCATCATCACATGCTAAACCCCCACACAAAGTTTTCTGTGTGAGGCTGACCTGCTCCCGGGACGGAGCCCAGCCGTGGGAGGAGACAGCTTTGAGGTGGAGGCCTGAGGTCTTGAGTCCACTCTTGGTGAGTCTTTAAAGACTCAGAGAGCCTCCCCTGAGTCCAGATTCCTGCTGGGTTCCCTCTTCCGTCCCAGGACACTGCTCTGCCCTCCAGCACAGAGACAGTCTGCTTAGGGACCAGAGGGGTTTGAGAGTCTGACACCCTTAGGTTTAAATCCTATTTCTGCCACCTATTAGCTGCCAGGCTTTGGACATGTTACCGAGCCTCTCTGGGCCTCAGTCTCCTCAGCTGTAAAATGGGGGCAGTGTTCAGGGTCCACTGGACAGCTAGAACACCTAGTGCAGCGCCAGGCAGGGAGACAGCACTGAGTCTCAAGGGTCTTGCCCTGTCCTCTTCGCCCCGACACGGTGTGGCTGTCTAGACGTGGCCCAGACCGCCTGGTGGAGACTCTGTCTGTTTCTAGGTGACTCGCTCCTTTAGTTCCAACACCGCCTGGTCCTGCTCATCATGCTTCCAGCCCGATCAGCACAGAGTATTCAGGGCGCCACGTTATGAACGCCTCCAAGATGCATTTGTTGAGAAGCAAATAGACCAAAGTAAAACAAATCCCATACTGGGCTTTCAGGATAAGATATCCTGGGTGTATGGAATGAGGCTTTCAGGATAATATATGGTTCCATTTGCCCCTCCCGTAATCATATTATAAGACCTGGAATGTGTTTTTGATGACTCCTCGGCGTCTGTGCTATCATCTCTCATCTCTTCTTGCTGTGACTGTGACTTTGTACAGAACCTTTTCTAATGCGTGGCTTTTACAGGCAAAGTCAGGTATACAGTTAGGGTCTGCACTGACCTATAATTAATATAACAATATGAAGTGCATGAAAGCATACAAGCCAGGCAGTATTCGTCACACGCCCTCACACCTCCTCCTCCCCCAAGGCCGCCACGCATGGCCCAGCAAGCTGTGCGCTGCACAGCGGATGGTACCCCTGCTCCCGGAGAGGTGTGGCGCTGATGGCCCACCCCTCAAAATCCCCGTGAACCCACAGGGAAATGAAAAAAAAAAAAAGAAAGAAACAAAGCCAGCAGCTTTGTCCTGTGGAGAAATCACAGGGAGTTACCGGAATAATCACATAAGGTTTTCCTTACAGTTAAAGCATAGTCTTCTTTCTTAATCACTGACTTCTTTAATTTATTTCTTTTTGAAGCCTCTGTAATCATTTCTGAATAAGATATTTCAAAGGATAGCTCTTCAGCCTCTGGTGGAAGGTTCTTTTCCAGATAATGATCATCTAAAATAACAAAGGAGATACAATATTTAATATGCCATTTAATCAATCAATATCATTTATTGGAAAATAAGCAAAAAAACTTCTCCATTGAACGTGTGTGCAGTGGAGGATGTTAGCATCCAAGGAGAAGCCTCAGACTCCCCAAGGATGTCAGTCAGACAGTAACGCAACGTGATCAGACTTCCACACGAACACATTTCTGCCATTACCCAAACATGCTTGCTGTTTAACTGCTTTTTTATTTTAGATTTTTAAGTCTCATTAAAGCCACTGAGGATTAATAGAGGAAATTCCCAAAATGGGGTATTTCTATATATTCTTATGATAATAAAATAAGTCTACCTAGGCTTAATATTATTGCTAATGGGGAACCAGAAGCTTAAAGCAGAGGAAGAAAGGCCATGAGGCTCCACTAGAATTCCTCCCTGGTGGCGCAGTGGTTAAGAGCTCAGGCTGCTAATCAAAAGGTTGGCAGTTCAAATCGACCAGCCACTGCTTGGAAAACCTATAAGGCAGCTCTACTCTGTCCTATAGGGTCGTTATGAGTTGGAATCAACTCAATGGCAATGGATTTGGTTTTTGGGTTCACCTCCCTTGTCTTGTTTCCAAACTGCGAAGTATTTGCCTTTTAAGAACTGTTCAAATTTAATTTGGATTTCACTGCTAGGTTTGTTTAGAATTAATCTGAATTCAGTAATAATACTGGTTACCTGATATTTGCTAAGGAACCCCGGTGGTGCAGTGGTTAAGCGCTTGGCTGCTAACTGAAAGGTTGGTGGTTTGAACCAACCAGCCCCTCTGCAGGAGAAAGCTGTGGCAGTCTGCTTCTGTAAAGATTTACAGCCTTGGAAACCCTATGGGGCAGTTCTCCCCTATCCTATAAGGTCACTATGAGTCGGAATCAACTCAACAGCAATGGGTTTCAATGCTACTGGTTTCCTGACCTTGTATAACGTACATTGATAAGGAGCTGAATGGCCCCCATATGAATGCTTTTCTTCAAGGTAGTCTGAAAACTAAGGAAATAGATTCCTTTACCAAAACCAAGTAAATCAGAATTCACTTGAGCAATACTAAACTCTGATCTGTGATTCAGAATGTGGCTTATCATCTTGTTTCACTGCCTGGCAAAATTGTTCATAGGCAATATAAAGAATTATTTGATTTAAAAAAAAAAAAGGTCATTCTCTTTTCCCCTCTTCTGTAGACACCGGCTAATAGACAACCATATCGGGGAAAAGATGGAAAAAAGGCAGAAACAATAGAAGACCTAACTGATCTTACATTAAAAGTTAAACAAAGAAATTTAAAAAATCAACAGATTTAAAAATTCTAAATAGTAATTCCTATCAAAAACCCAATAAATGGGTACAGCAAGAACTTACAAAATGACAGGGAGAATTATGATTTTCACTCTTTACACAGAAGCTTTTATTTAAAACAGAGGAAGGTAAAAGTATTAAATAATGCTCTAACTTCTTCAGGATTCTTTGGAGAACAGCAGTTAAACAGACTGAAGTTCCAAACCAGCAGCCTTCTCCACGTAGACTTCAATCTCCCAGCGGCGTGATCTGAACGAAATAACGGCATGGCCGCAAACAGAACGATGTGGGATAATTTCAGACAAATCCCTTTCTCTTTATTTATTTGGTAACAGTTTTATTCAGATATAACTCACATACCATACAATTCATCCGTTTAAAGTGTACAATTCAATGGTTTTTAGTATATTCACAGACTTGTGCGACCAACATCACAATGATTTTCAAACAAATTCTTTGATTTTTGAAGCTCACGCGGAAAGTACGGGCTCTACTGTTTATGGGAAGTGTGCACATATTTAGGAAAAACTTCTAGGAATTACAAAAGCCTTTCCTGAAGGGGTCTGTCCTCTAGAAGGAGGGTTTGAGATTCGATGCTGAACCTATGTAGACAGCCCATTTAGGGCCACTGCTCAGTGGACAAGCCCAGTCAAATAAGCTCTCCCTGTAACCCCATATGCCACAAGCTGCTCCGGCACTGCATATATCTGGGCAGTAGTTAGGGATTCCTGGAACTGGCCTACTTCCTGGCCTACTTGTAACTTTTAAGCCAATCCAGATTACTTGTGAAGGAGGCCCCAAATCAGAGATACTACCCAAGTGAGTCGTTTCTAAGTGATGGAGGAAAAGATTCTGCTGCTTCTTTTGCTCAACTAATCTCATCTCTGTGTGGCACAATGAGGTAGGTGTCTTGGAGAGGGTGGGAGGAGGTAGTGTTGGAAGTGACAGACTCATAATGGGGAGAAAAACACACTTACATTTAACTTTCAGACATTCACTGCTAACTGTATTGTGTGCTAGAGCAAAAGAGAGAAGACACAGCTTATGCTCAATTGGAGGTGGTCTCACTCACCACTCACTGCATTTTGAACTGGCTTCTCTCCAGGGTCTGACGATCCATTGGCATGAACTGGTATAACTGGAATAGTCTCAAATATAGACTGTAAAGCAAGGGAAGACAAACACAAAAATTTTACCATAAATACAGTATACCCAGCATTTCAATCTGATTTATTTTCTGCAGTATAATGAGCTCTTTTTATAAAAAGCCATTCTCGGTTTCCTGAAGGGCCTGCTTCTGGTTTCCTTTGTTTCTGCATTCAGTTGAGACCTGTACAGCTCATCCATGCTGCTCAAAAGGGAGCTACATCGAGGTCAAAACAGCTGTGCCTTCTTGGCTCTTAAGTATCTGCTGCTTATACCTTTCATGAGATTTAGAAATTACAGTGCTTGATGTCACACAACCTGATAATTATCATGTCATTTGATATTCTGGATGTGGCGGGGTCACACTGTGGTCTTAAACTCTAAGTGTTGGCATAGCTAGGCAGTCCATGACATGGATCTTGGAGCCAGACTGCGTGGGTTCTAATCCTGGTTTTACTGCTGACTAGAAGTTACTAGAATTCTGTTGCTTAGTCTCCTCATGTATAAAATGGGGATGATAACAGAATATATTTCAAAGAGCTTTTGCGAAGATTAAATGACTACTCTGTATAAATTATATAGAACAATATCTAGCACACAGTTTATACTATTTGAGGATTAGCTACTATTAATATTACAACACTACTATATTAATTCTCTCACTGCAAAATACAGAGTAATCATAACTACCAAGAAACTAAGTACCTTTTCTAGTTCAGCTTCCCCTTGTAATTGATCTGGAACTCTCTTCAATGAGATTCTGCTGAAAGCATTGAACTCCCTGCAATATTACTGGTTGCTGAGTCTCTATCTTTAGACAGCCCTGCACAGCTCGGGTCTGGATGGGACTAGTAAGCTTACACTCAGATCTAGCAATACAGATGTCAATGTGGAAGTTATTATCTGTAAATACAAGTCAGGGTGAAAATCTGCTATTCCTCAAGAACCATATATGTGTTACTTACACAAAAAATCTGTTGTTTGGTTTGAGGCTAGAGGTCTTTTTCGCCAGAGCCTACTGTTTCTGTTTTTTCATATTTATTTAGCAGTAATGAAGCTCTGTTTCATGAAAGAGTCTTTACCATGTGCTACAAATTGCGTAAGAAGGTCTCAGATCTGAGCCTCGTGTTCTTTTTCTCATTCTATTTTGTTTTAAAGGAGCTAACACTTCTAATTGCGCAAGCAAGATGTAAACATATGGCCAATTCCTAAAACAAAAGTGCCCAATCCCTGTAGTTGGTGGACAAATGAAAAGACAAAACAGGTCTAGGGCCATGCAGTTCCTTGTCAGTCAGATTTTAGGGACTCTAAAAATTAGCAATGCAGAGTAAAGACTACCCATACAGTAAAATCCTAAAAATGTGGCAATGGCTTTTCAGTGCTTAAGTTTTTCAACAAAGAAATGCTTATCAGACTGAAAGGACTCAAATACGGGAGAGAACACTATTCTTAAAATTGAGAGATGTACGTTTTATTTAGGGCTTGGAGCTGATGGTTGAGAATACTTAAACCTACTGAATGTCGATTTCTTCACCTGTAGGTTGGAACAGAGGCCATCTGAGAGTTGGTTTAACTGGCTGGCCCACAGCCAACTTATTGTATTGAATGAGTGCCTGCTCTTAGTAATGCAAATTATTCTGGGACCTTCTTGGGGGAAGCAGAAGCTTGAGTCAAGATGCCTTCCTCTTGAACTACTTGTATTATAATAGAGAAGAACAGCATTGACATAGAATGCTAAGAGCTAATTGCTAGATTACAAACTACAAGTGTTACTGGAGAGCAATAGGGAGGAAAAGAGGTGTCGCCAAGAAGGTTTTCATTGAAGAGGTGATTGAACTTGAGCTAGAACTCAAGGAATGATGAGCAGAACTTGGACAGAGGAAAAAGGCCAAAGTACAGGCCAGAAATGGAAGCAGAAATTTCAGGTATGGCAATACCTGAATCATTTCAGCTACCCCAAGGCGCTGGAGTGACTGGTTTGCCATGAGCTGAGGCAAGGTATTAGAAAAATATGAGAAAGACATTGGTTGAGAATGCCATGTCAAATTATGGAAGGCTCTGAAAGCCCCGTAGAGAGTTGAGACTAATCACTGGATTTTAAAAACAAAAAACAAATAGAAAACTCACCTGTTGAAGCATGGGAGTGACCCAGTGGAAGGGAAAGAAGAGACTCAGTCTGTAATAAGCCTTGACTTTGGAAGTAGAGGTTGAGTGAAGGGTTAGATGTTTGGCTTATACAGTTTTAGAGCATCCATTCACCCACTAAACATCATTTTAAGAGTAGTATAATTTTATTTTTTTACGAGCTACTTGAATTTAGTTCAAACGTAAAGGCCGCTCCCTTTAAAACAAACTGGCTTGTCTGTAAAAGCATCATGCCCAACCACAGAATTTCCCACTAATGGCAAGTCAAAGGCAGTGTCATCCACCAAAACTTGCTCTGCTGCCTATGTTACTCCTAGCTCTGATTGGAGAATAGAGTATAGGGGTGAAGGGATTGTTATTTTAAATTCTAAACTGTAAAACATTAGTACTGTCTGTTTTAGTTTTTTGTGAAAACTAGATTTGTACTGGCATTTTCTATTTCCTTCAAGTTAAGTAAACACCATACTGAATACTGCCTATGCTCTCTTCACCACTTACAGGAGACATTCATTGACCCAGAGGATGCTTCTGACCTCCCTGCCTGGCTGCTTGGCTTCCCTTGGGGTTTGAGTCTATGTTACAACTCTATGGACTGAAGCTGCCTAAGCTGAGTCAATACCAACAACTGGGTTCCCACCTTCTTCTTCTGCCTCTAAGGTCCATATCTTGCAACCACTCTGTTTCAAATTCCCCAAAGGTAATAAGCTTAAATAAGCTACATTCACTGACAAAAATTCAATAAATTTGGAAATAAAAAGATAACAACAATAACAAAATCGATCCAAGTGGGAATTTGAAAGTATTCCAATGATATCTTGGGTTAAAAAATAAATCACACCTGAAACTATAAAATTAAAAATTAAAGACCACGAGAGCACTCAATAAGAAAAATCCATGAAAGTGACTAAAGTATTACTCAGAGATTAATTCTTAACCTTAACTGCAAACAAGAAACACTGAAAATAAATGAACTATGTTTATACTCCAAGAGACTAGGGGGAAAAAAATCCAAGCAGACTCAAGAAAGAATAAGAAATTAATAAACAGTAAATCAATTAACAGAATAGAAAAAAGTAGGATTAATTAATAAAGGCTAGTCACTTCTTCAAAAATATTGTAATATAGGCAACTATTTACAGTTCTAATTAGGATAAAGGACATAAATTTTAGGAACACAAGAGACAGATTTCAACAACCCACCCTAGAGCCATAGTTAAGACAGACCCCCTGTATATATGGGGATTTCACCAGTGATAAAGAGGACATTTCAAACATGTAGAAAAGACAAAAGGTTATCTTTTTGGCAAAGGTAAAGGTAGGTTATCTTCCGTACTTTATACTATTTCACTACATGAATTCTAATAGGGAGAAAGGGCTTGGGGCCCTCTGAAGAAGTCTTGGAGGTGAGACGTCAAGTGTCGCTGGGATTTACCCCCGCAGGATAGACTTCACCTCTACAGCTGTCACGGTCAGGACCCCTGAAGCTATAATGCTTATCACACCTTTAATGAATTACTAAAAACTCCACCATCTAGAAGAGACGCAGGCACCAAACAGGGGTGCCTGTGCTCCTTCTAGGTAAGAGCATGGAGCTCGAAATGTATTAGGAAACCTAAATCAAACCAGTTGCCTTCAAGCTAGTTCTGACTCACGGAGACCCCCATGTTTGTCAGAGTAGAATTGTGCTCCATAGTGTTTTCAATGGCTGATTTCTCAGAAGTAGATCACCAGGCCTTTCTTCTGAGGTGTCTCTGGGTGGATTCAAACCGCCAACCTCTCAGTGAGCAGCCGAGCACTTAACCGCTTGTGCCACCCAGGGACTCCCAATGGTAAGAAGCTCCAGAACGGTTCAGCGCAGGCGCTGTAAAGGTTATGCTACCATCTGCAGGACACTTTAGCATCTAACCACAGTGAGTAACATTTCTAAGATACCCTGAGTAACAAACAATCCAAAGTAACTCAGGTTGGAGATTGGTACCAGTGAGGTTTTTTTGGCCCACTACTGCTGAAACTGGAGCCCTGGCGGCGCAGTGGTTAAGAGCTCAGCTGCTAACCAAAAGGTCGGCGGTTCAAATCCACCACCTGCTCTTTGGAAACCCTATGGGGCAGTTCTACTCTGTCCTATAGGGTTGCTATGAGTCGGAACTGACTCAAAGGCAACAGGTTTGGCTTAGTACTGCTGAAACTTTTGCTTATGTCACTGGCATTTCAATCAGTTTTCAGAGAAAACAAACAATAAAAAACCAACAACAACAATAAAAAAAGGAAATCTGAGTGATTAACTTGCCCTAGGCATCGCTAAGGGGCAAGCAATATTCCTGTCTTTCTCTATTTATTTATTACCTCATAATACCTCCAAATATTCAAAAATCCCACTGAGAGACAGCATGTGCTCAATAAGGATTTGCGGAACAAATGAATGAATCAACGATATGGAGAAGTTATCAGAAAAAAAGAAACTGGAAAACATGACTAGCATCAGTCTTCCTGGGAGTAGAATTGTGGCCATGGAAATGCTACGGAAAATCTCAGGAAACAAGGCCTACCCCCAGCTTTGGCAACCCAATTTGGCAGCCATTTTGCTTCAGGTCTTGCTGGGTATCCATGTGGGATTCCATTCCGTTGTTTATGGATGGCCTCTATAAAATGCTTGGGTGTAAAAGTCAGCTAGAGGGGCAGACAAGAAAGATCTCGTGAGTCATGCCAGGAGCCTTCACGATGAAGAGGCATTTGGTAACCACCGAGGGCTTTACACAACACTTGCATTTTAGATGGATGACTTGCAGCTGATCTAGCGCTAAAGTCTGGGAGATCACTTAGCTGGCTAGTCAGCAGTACAAAAAGAGGAAGATGAATTTCTCTTCCAAGGTAGGTAGTGGTTATAGGAAAAGAGGAAATAAAAATATTCGAGAACCACTACTAGATCAAAGACTACGGCCTTCAATATGGATTACACCTCAACATAAAGAAAGCAAAGATCCTCACAACTAGACCGATAAGCAATATCATGATAAATGGAGAAAAGACTGAAGTTGTCAAAGGACTTCATTTTACTTGGATCCACAATTGATGCCCGTAGAAGCAGCAGTCAAGAAATCAAATGACGTATTGCGTTGGGCAAATCTGCTATAAAAGACCTCTTTAAAGTGTTGAAAAGCAAAGATGTCACTTAGAGGACTGAAGTAAAGCCATGGTGTTTTCAATCGTCTCATATGCATGAGAAAGCTGAACAATGAATAAGGGAGACCGAAGAACTGACACTCTTGGATTGTGGTGTTGGGGAAGAATATTGAATATACCATGGACTGCCAAAAGAACAAACAAATCTGTCTTGGAAGAAGTACACCCAGAATGCTCCTTAGAAGCAAGGATGGTGAGGCTTTGTCTCAAGTACTTTGGACATGTTGTCAGGAGGGATCAGCCCCTGGGGAAGGACATTATGCTTGGGGAAAGTAGAGGGTCAGCGAAAAGAGGAAGACCCTCAACGGGATGGATGGACACAGTGGCTGCAACAATGGGCTCCGAGCATAACAACGATTGTGAGGATGGGGCAGGACCAGGCAGTGTTTCGTTCTGTTGTACACGGGGTCACTATGAGTTGGAAGTGACTCAGTGGCACCGAATGAAAACAACAACAGAACCACTAGCATGATAAAATCCGCAGGCCTCAGTGTTGGGGTGTGAAGAGGGGAGAGGGTTGGCAGAGCTGACGCTGACACTTACAGGTCGTGGCTGCCAGCAGCTGAGACAGGAAATAAAGGATCCTGGACAGGAGTGCCCCACAAGAGCACAGCAGTGTATGATCTGTTGCAAATAATTCCTTTACTGTAGGCTGTTACCAGAATCTGTGAATGATTTACTTTGTTTTTGTGAAGCGGAGTGGCTTTAAGATTAACTTTAAACCAGAGACATCCTTGGAAACCCTGGTGGCACAGTGGTTAAGAGGTACAGCTGCTAACCAAAAGGTCCACAGTTCGAGTCCACCAGGCACTCCTTGGAAACCCTATGGGGTAGTGTTACCCTGTGCTATAGGGTCACTATGAGTCGGAACGACTCTACCGCAACGGGGCGTTGACTGACAGCCAGCAGGACAGAAATCCTGCGTAACCCTCAGCCTATCTATGCCATCACCTGCAGCGCTACTGATAAAAGTTACTCATTGACAACAGCCACTCAAATTACTTTGTTTCTTATGTAATCACTATGCAACCAAACAAAACAATCCCATAACCCAAACCCTAAAACATAACAGAAGAGCTAGCTAACCTGGAGCTGATAGCATCACCTCCCTGAACAATGATGTCATTGTCCTAGAAGCCTGCCCCACGTCAGTGTCAGCTCTCCTGTTTCTCAGAACGGACAATGGTGGAAAAACAGCTGCCCCCAAGGAACACGTCAGTGTGCTACCTCCATCTGGGTGTCTGCTATGCTACCGGCTGCCTTCCAAAGCCTGCCGTCAGAGAACCACCACCTCCTCCAATGGGGTCTCTTGCTGGTTTCAGTCCATCCTGTCACCCACTGCCAGGGCACCTGACCTGTGGAATTCTGACGGGCAGAGACACAGAGTGGGGATTCCCAGTGGGAACAGCGAGAGGGGAAAGACAAGTTCTGGATAAAGTACAAGTTCTGTTACTCAAGGTCAAGTGAGTGAATGTGTCTGAAGGGTTTGTGCAGGTGAGTATGGAGAGCTGAGTCTGGAAATGCCGGAAGTAGTGGAAAGTCTTCAATACCAGAAGGGGTTTGTCATTTATTCTGCAGGTAAAAGGCTGCAGAGTGAGGTAAGATCATCACACCTCTGTTGTTCCGCGTGTGGGCTCAGTCGAGAGAACCCAGTTAACAAATCCCTCCATGCTTGATACATGTAAAGAATATTTTTTTTGGTTTCAGGCCGGACTGATATTAATTTACCGAGTTCTCTTTTAAACTCAGAATCTATTCATTGCTGAGTTTGTCTCCTTCCTCCTGGTTGTTACAAGAGTGGTGGATCTATGGCTTCCCCGCGGTGTTAGTTACGGTAATATTTTCCAGTTATTCTTATCTGTCTTGAAAAAACTGCTTCCTCTCTCTGTCCCACTTTTAGTCACTTTGGGATACTTACCACGGAGTCAGCCCTGGGATCTGCCAAGCTCCCTTCTTCGTCCTGGGACCCATCCGACAGAGCAATACTGTTGAGAGAGGCATCATCAGGCTAAATGGAGAGAGAAAAGCACTGTTTTCATTCAGGCACACCTTTTAATGTGTTTGCATATTCTACTGTACACGTATTTAGATGTGTGTGTCAATGACTACTAGAACTAAGACATAGATATTCTTTCTTTACTGAAGGATCCTTATTGCAAAATTGAATATATTTGATACTTATAAAACCATACAGTGTTTTGTCTTTTTTAAGAAAAACTATCATTCTTCATCTTGCTCAACCTGATTTTCTAAATGTTCTAAAGACAATATACGTTACTTCATAATACAAAAGAAAGAACATTTATTTTTTGAAAAGAAATAAATGCAATGCCAAAAAACAAAAACCCACTGTCATTGAGTGGATTCCAACTCATAGCGACCCCATAGGGTTTCCGAGGCTGTAAATCTCTATGGAAGCAGACTGCCACATCTTTTTCCCTCGTTGCCGCTGGGGTTTCGAACCACTGACCTTTCAGTTAGTAGTTGATGGCTTTAACCACTGCACAGTTGGGATCGACTCAGTGGCAGTGGGAATAAATGAACTAGACAAGAAATTTAGGTCAAGATGGCTGACAATCATCTACTTCCCCTCCTACCCCAAACCACTAGAAATAACAGAAAATATGTTTAAAGGAACAGATTTTTATCAGCACTGGAAACTAGCAAAGATTCCACAGCAGACCAACTGATAAAAACTTCCAGATGAAAAATGAGAAACCATTTTAATTCTCCAGGAATTCAGATTTCTGGGTCCATGAAATTGAGGTGACCCACCCAGGCCATCTGCCCTTAGGTGTCCTTTTGAACCTTGATCGTTTAAGGAACTATTTTCCTGAAGTCACCTTCAAGTCATACAACAGCCTAGTAAGCAGTTTAGCAGAGATCATTTTGCCTTAGGCGTTGGGTGCATTCGGAGAATTACAACGACCTTCAAGAGACAACCCTGCCCAGACCTCCCCTATATAACCTGTTCTCACCGTCCTCTCTTCAGAGCATGCCTTCCCAATACCTTTGGACTGAGGACTGACACTGCCCGATTCAAATCATATCTACTCACAATAAATGTATTCTGTTACACTAATTTCTGGGGTTTCTCTGTGCATTTAGGTTTGACCAAAGCAAATGGGATTGGTTTGGTAAGATAAGAACCTCTATATGAAAGTAGCAAAAAGAAAATTTCCAGGGGGAGAACAGAAAAGCCAACAATAAATGATCTGAATGTACAAAGAGCAGGGAAGAGCCACAAATAATTATGAACTGTTTACAAAAAACAGGAGCCAGGAAGACCTCCTTTCCCTTAACTGTGTAGACAGTCCCTAAATATGACCCTAGGAAAAGCACCTCAAATGCAGTCTAAATAAAATGAACTAATTGTCCTAGTGGTGGCGGTGAGGGGTTGGGGTAGGGTGTGTCCCTCCTGTGAGCACAAGGGTTTGAGAGAGGGGGAGAACATGAGGCCTCAAAAAAAGACAAGGCTGGAGAATAAAAAAGAAAATCTGCTTTGTCTGGAAGGAAACAAATTAGAGTTGTTCATCTCCTTATTTGTTTTGCATTTGGGGAGAGAGAGCGTGTGCTAACCTACCCCTCTAAGCCCCTTAAAGTGAAGAAGCACAACCCACTCACCTATGAGAACATACCATCAACAATTCTGCCCTTTTAGGGAAACAGATCTACTCCATGGCAAAGGAAATACACAGTAATTTCCTATGCTAATCAACAAGGACTCCTGGCGGCTCAGTGGTTAAGCACTCGACTGCTAACCAAGAGGTTGGCGGTTCGAGCTTACCCAGCGGCTCCGCAGTAGAAAGACACCACAGTCTGCTTCTGTAAAGATTACAACCTCGGAAACCCCAGGGGGCAGTTCTGCTCTGTCCTAGAGGGTCACTATGAGTTACAATTGACTTGACGGCAATGAGTTTTTAATCAAATAACCAATAAAGTTCAGTTTTCTGGCTCTGCAGAGAACGCAGGGGCCCAGAGAAGCGGTCCTTCCCCCTGGAAGTCGGCTGATAACCTCGGCCTGACAGAACAACTCCCCGCTCCGTTTCTTTGGTTGGGGTCTTTTGGTGGTCGTATCACCTTCCTGCTGTGACACCATCTCAGCAGAATTCTGAGATCTCGGCAGAGGGAGGGGCTGGGAGCTGGGCAGGAAGAAGCACCTGGGATTGATGGTCTTGGTCAGAAGCGAAGGGCCTACATCTCACCTGCAGTGGGGGGTACAGCCTGAGGCTGGGGACACCGCCGCCACCCCACCACAGAAGAGGTGTTCCCAGACAGGACGGCCCTCACCCTGGGGCAGAGACTGCACTGCTGGCTTCACGTATGGCTACACATAACAAAAGCTGATGTGTTCTCCACGTAAGATGCTTACCTTTAAAAATAACTGGAAGAAGCTAAATATTTACATCTCAGTTGACACGGAAAAAACTGTTTACATGGCAGTCTGTCATTCTTCTGTTGGAGCTCAGCCATGAGGATCAGGCTTTGGTTGACAACATCCTCCACACAGGATACGCGTTACCAACCATTTGCGTTTGTTTGTTTCCGCCTGGAGTTACTTTTTATTTTCTTGAAAGATAGAATTCAGCTCTTCTAGATTTACCGCCTAAATTGTTCCTCGCTGAGTTTAAGAGCGATGGTGATGGATCTGTGCGTGGCTGTGTCTGCCAACAAACTGATACTGTGTCCTTTACAGTTGGCTTGACAGTCTGGGAGACTTCTTCTCTCCCACGTCCTCCACTCTGGGCTATCCTGAGGTGACCCACCCTGGGCCACCTTCACTTGGGTTCTGTTATGGATTGAATTGTGTCCCCCAAAAAGATACGTTGGAGTCCTAAGCCCCGTATCTGTGAATGTGACCTTGTTTGAAAATAGGGTTTTTCTTTGAAGATGGTATCAGTTAAGTAGGGTGGGTTCTAATTCCTTCTGAAGGTATCTTACAGAAGGGAAGAAGAGACATGGAAAGGGAGACATACAGGGGCAGATGCCACGTGGAGACACATTTACAAGCAACAAAGGAAGCTCCAGAGACTCCAGGGCTAACATAAGCTGGAAAAGTCAAGGAAGGCTCTTCCCCTTGAGTGGACACAGACAGCATGGGCCTACTAATTCCCTGAACTTGGACTTCTAGCCTCCAAAGCTGCGAGACATGATAGATTTCTGTTCTTCAAAGCCACCCACTCCGCAGTGTTTTATTACAGCAGCCCTAGGGGACGAAGGCAGTCTCTCTTTCCTGCTGAATATCTTCTTCACAAACTGATTAAAGGTAGGTTGGTAGGTTGACATCTGTGGTTTCTCAACAATCTTAATGATGTTGTTTTTTTCTCAAGTTTTGCATGATTGTGTTGAAGAAACAGCTTCTTCTACACCCCAGTTCCCCTGCTAGAACTTACCACAGGAGCACTTGTTTTGATAACTGTTGACATCTCTTCTTTTTCCTGCGTACCGTCCAACTGAGCAGTGTGGTCCTCACAAGGATCACCTGGCTAATGAGAGAAACGAAAGTCATTTTTCTCAGACACATCTTTCCAAACATGACTGTGTACTCCATTATGTGTTACATTATAGTTTGTATACACGTACAGCTGTGTGGCAATATACAGTGTCTACCTGTGACTGATAATAGCTTTTACCAAATTGTTCATAATTATTTTGCTCCTCATAAATGCCATGTTCTATCACAGAAATTGGTCTCAGGCGCAGACACTGCTAGCTGCCTACCAAAATCTACTTTCCTTTTCTTCTTTAATATACGAATACCATGATTTTGCTCCAAGATGCTGTATGTATAACTGAAAAAACTAACTGTGATCATGGATAATGACATCTAATGAAGGATAAATGGGATTCTACGTGCTGGCGGTTCCAGGACAGAACCAGGAAGAGGAACATGGGGCCTGCGTGGCACAGCCATCTTACTAAAATTAGGTCTGTATCTAAGGAGAGCAGAGAGAAAAGATGACCTGTTGGTAGACTTGTGCCGCAGCAGTCCCAGACTTCCTACCTTCAGTTTCTGGTTTGCGAGACAGATGCACTCTGGTGTAAATTACATAGTTTACTGAGAAAACCACGATGTTTTAAAATCAGCCTTTATGACTGTACTTTGCAATGATTTATAAACCAATAGGAAGAGTAGCCAGGTTTTTTTCAGTTATAAAATTAGAAATCAATCTGTTTGCCCACCTCATGAACACACATACCTGGATCAAATATTTCACTCCTATTCACGGAACACTGGGAAAAGCTGATCTTACTTATACAGGAAGGGTATTTGGAGACTACATTTCTGATGAACTCCATTCTAGACGCCTTGCAGATGCTCTAAGATTTAGTGGCATTTGTGATACAAGGGCACCACCAAAAATAAGACATGAATATTCTACTCCATTACTGAAGCAACTTTTTACAAAATTAAATACACTGAATATTAATGAAATCATAAACCTTTATAAGAGAGCTTAGAAACTTACTTTTCATCTTGCCTTTCTGTATTTTCTGACTTTCCCCCAAACAGTATGTGCTAACTAATACGAAAAGCATACACCTATTTTTCAGCGGAAACAATGCTAAAGAGGCAGCACAAGAAAAACTCAGACAAGCATGGGAGACTGAGCATGTTCCTCTGCTCCCGACCAAATCAGTCCGACTAAGGGGAGATACATCTTCTGACAAGAACAGATACGTAATCACCCCGGAAACCAACGTGTTCTCATTACCGGTCAGAAGTCATAAGAAATTCCTAAAAAGTAGAAAATAAAGAACTGTTTGGTAATTGTAGAGAAATTCTCAGCCTAATAACAGCATTAGACACCACTGCTGGTAAGATAGGAGAAGATCTAAAAAACCAAGCAAACAAACAGAACCATGCTCACCATGAAACATACAGAGGGCAGGAGGGCTTCCTAGGCAACGGCCAGGATAGTTGACTGCAAAAGTGTTTTCTTATGTGAGGGGCCGTATGACCTCCCCCTCCAGCCCCCTTCACACTGAAAGCGGGCAGTAGCTGTATACAAACCCAAGCAAAGTGCTCTCAGTGAAGTGAACTACCTGCCTCAGGAGGATTTCCAAGGTGGGCATCTGGGCCTGGGATCAGGTCCCTCGGACCACCATGAAGGACATGAATGGGAGAATAAAAAGAAACCTTCAGCTTTATCCGGGAGTGAAACCAGCTGACGTCATTCACCACTGTCCCCTTTGGCACTGATGTGTGTGCACACTCATGTATGTGTGCCTACTAAACTAACTTCCATCCACACACAATTCACACGCCTCACCAACTCACACAGGGTCCAAATACGCCCCCTTAGTCAAGAAACAGAGTCCTTCCGGGAAATAGCTATATAACGACACAGAAAGCATACAGAACTGACATATTCCAAGTTATTAATCAATCAACCCAGTCCATTAATAAATTTAAATCAATTACCAAGGACCTCCAGCCACTGAAGAAAATCAACACAATGCAAAAGATGTACAACGATAAACATCCTGGGGAAACAGATAATGGAAGGAAGAGAAGAAATGATTCAGTGATTTAATTTTTAGTTCAGAGATTTCAAGGTTATCACAACCATAAATCAAGAACTAACTGGCATAATAAAGAGGAAATCAGTGCAAAAGGAAGAATTCTTGTGAATTAACAGTGTCACTGGTAAATTAAAAAATCAAGAGACCAAATTATAACCACCCATGGGAAAAATTAGAATTAGGGATTCTAATTAGGGAATTATAAAATGACGTTGATGGAATCTAGTGGAACACAGACACACGGGAAAAAAGATGTGGGAAATGAAAGAGATGACTCAAGAGACATGTGAATTTCACTCAAGTAATGAAAGAAACAGAGAATATGGAGACAGAGAAATAGCGGGAATAGAACGTCCAGAACTGAAAGAAAAGGAACAGTTTTCAGAGTCAAAAAGCTGAGTGCTTGCTGACTATTCATATCTTGATGACAGTTCAGGTCTCCAACAATAAAGACAAAAAGCTTCCAGAATTATAAAAATGAAAACATACAGGTAATAAATATAAAAAATAAATAATAAAGAGAGGCATCAGACTCCTCCACATCAACACGGCGTGAAAAAGCAAATGGACCAATAGCTACAAATCTCTGAAGGAAAGTGATTTAGGGTCTAGCATTTTGATACTCCCCAGTTTAGGATCCCCATTTCTGGACAGGAAAATTAGCACCCAGAGGCATTTCTTGCCAGATTTGCTCAAAGGATACGAGGTACAATAGGCTAAGAAGATGTAACACTTTGTAAAGCATGTGATCATGTAAATTAATAATTTTACTAGGTTCTGCAGCTATCTTGTTATGCACGCCCTCCCCATCATCCTCTGAGAAAGGGTGGCACTTGCTTTCTCCTTCCACAAACTGGTGTGCAGTTCAACAATGTGGGTGGAGTAAAACTCAAAGTGCTGTTATGCCCCAGTGAGAGACTTATTCACCCGTCTGGCAGCACACCTGTCCTTTGATCAACCTTTAACAGGTGATAAGACCTTCAAGGAATTGAAATAACAGGACAACGAAAGCCAAGTGGGAGAAGACTGGGCCTTAATGGATGAGGAAGAACACCAGAGCCTGGCTCTGACTGGGGTCTCAGCAGGCTAGTCCCGAGGAGACCTTGTGATCCTTCAGGCACATCAACCATTCACTCCCTGAGGTGGGGCTCAAGGCGGAACCACTTTATCACAATACAGCTAGAGCCAATGGTTTGGCCTAGGTCAGTCAGGCGTGGGTAGGGGGCAGCAGATGAAAGACAATGCAGGGTGAGTTAATGTTCCCCCTTGGTTGATATAAAATCATTTCATAAACATTCTATTCAAAGACCAACTAGTATCGTACTCAGTAACAGGGAACTGCCACGTCTTGCCTTCCGTGTCTCACTGTTATTGCTCTCGCTTATTGGTGCACTGAATTATTAAATTAATACACAAAAATCCTGTGTGCAGGGACCCTGTCTCCTTATTTTGCTCCTGTTGTCTGGCGGGCTAGCTGCTTCATGAGCGTTCAGTAAATTCCTGCTGATTATTTCATTCCGACAAGCCCATAAAGCTGGCTCCGATCGCCTGCTGTAAGAGGAGAAAATAAAGGCAAATGAAAGAAGTTTCTTCCACACCAGAAACTTATTTCTTCAGAAAGGGTGCTCTGCAGAAGAGAGGTAACGCAGCAGGCCTGACCTCCATCCTCGGACCGGCCTGGGTGCTGGCCTCTGGCTGGCGTCTGTGAGCTTGGACTTTTGGAGCGTTCCCAACGTTTCCTGAAGGCTGAGTGGCTCACTGGGCCCTGACTGTTTGACAGTGTGGTTTATGCTGAACACCTGCTTTCGTTCTGGAGTCTGGAATTTTGGTGCATATTAGGCAGAGGGTATGTCTGTGAGTGGTCTCCCAGTGCAAACCTTGGGCTCCTAGGAGCTTCCCTGGTAGACAGCACTGCACCTGTGTGGCCACAACTCCTTGCTGGAGGACTTAGGCTCACCATGCTGACTCCAGTGGGAGAGGCCCCCCGGAAGTCTATACCTGGCTTCCTCTGGACTTGGCCGCATGCGCATTTTCCCTTTGTTGATTTTGTGTGTGTGTTTCCTTTTGCTGGAACAGATCATGGCCACAACTATGATTATATGTGAGTCCTTCTAGCAAACCATTGTCTTGGGGACCCCACCTGGCACAGGAGCAAACCGGGATATATTTAATATTTCACTGAATATAAACATTCAGTTTATAAGTGTGTGAAGACTAGCACTTGTTTAATCTCCGTGTCTATACCCTTTTATAATTATCTGCATTATCATCTGCTTCAGATGCTCAGATCTGAAAAAGGTAAGAAATATGTCTTCCAGCCCTTATCAGCCACTGCTCACCTGATGCCATGGTTGCAGTCTAGTTAGAAAATCTACGAACTGCAGAAAGACACAGTATACCTCTCTAAAGTAGAAGTCTCACTTCAATACCATACTGGCCCAGAGAATAAAATCTACAAGAACTCATCATTTTGTTCTCTCCAGTTTGGAATAAGGTAGAAGAAGATGGAACACAAGGATAAAAAGATAAATGAGAAAAGATACAAAATAATCCCAGACCAACACAAGTCCACGGCATGGGGTGGGAGCGTAGGTAGAGTCGGTGCGGAAAAGGCTCACAGGAATCCATCCCCTGGAAATTCTCCAGGGTCTGCTCCTACTCGCCACTCCTGTGGCTGAGGGGGAGGCAGTGGCTGCTGGGAAGCAGAGTGGGGAAGGCAGAAGTAGAGTACCTAAGATCCCCTGCACAGAGGAAACTACATCTCAGGACACCTGCGGGCAACCCGACAGGAAGGGTGAAACCTCTGACTACCCAGAGTTAACACTCTAACAAGAAATACAATAAAACTGGAAGACATATAGAGACTAAATCTGCAAAACAGATTGCTCGCAGCCCCAGCTGACCACACTCCACCTCCGTACCTCGGCCTCCCCTCAGGCAACAGAGAAGCAACCGCAAT